CCCCCCCACACACACACACACAGGAGATCAATGTTATTGAGGTGACATTGCTGAATGCAGTCTTGAAAGTCACCAGTGCCCCTCATTTCAGGATTGATCATACCTTTATGTTCATCAAGAGATGCAATTGTGTAAAAATCTCCTCCCACCACCCACATTCCAGTGGGAGGTCTGTGGTCCCTTCAGATTCTGCCAGAGAATCTCTCTTTCCTTAGTAGTGTGTTTACCATAACACAGCGGAAATGGTTACAAGATCATTATCTATAGTTCTTTTGAACTGTAAAGTAAGGACTTGTTCTTCCATCATGCTATTAATGAGGTCCAGAGTACTATCATTCCAAAATGCCCAAATTTTGTTGTTAACATTGCCTATATAATTCAAAAAACCCACTTTCGTTGAGTACTTTTGAATGTGTTTATCTGATATAAAAGGTTCAATAACAGCCACAAAATCCATATTCTGCACTTTCTTTAGCACTTTCTGGGACATTTTCACGCACAACCTTAACTTTCAACTCCACTCCTACTATGTCAACATATATTATCTCTTCAAGGTATTTAGAGACGTCTATATTGATACAGAGGAGTCTAGCAGCTCCACGGTATTCTTTGCACAGAGTTTTATTATTATTATTATTATTATTATTATTATTATTATTATTGTTATTATTGAAGCCTAGGGTGGTTTTTGCATTGAAATGCTAATCTTGCAACTGGCAGAGACATGCTGAAACAAACCGTGCTATTTCTGAAATTACTTTTAGGGATTTTTTGGTTTTGAGTTATAAAATGATTTCCAGGTTCTATTGGAAATCTTCCTCAATTAGTGCCTGACCAGATTCTGAAGTTGAAGCAACTTACTGTGCTTACACTTGCTGAGACGACCAAGGTAAAGAATCTTATTCTCCAATAGGGACACAGCACATGCAATATTGGCATTTCTCTAAGTAGTTTGTCACAGTGCCATTTATGAAAACCAATGAATTTGGAAAACCAACTCTTGTTTTCAAATGGATAAATGCTATTGATAGTTGTTGGTAAACCATCATCAGTCAATTTTAATGCTTCTTTTTTTGTGGACCTGCCTAGAGAGCAGTGCAGAAATCATCTTGTTCCTTTCATGCCTGTTTCACTTAGTTTTCTATGCATTCTTCTCATTACTTGTTATTACATGTTCTAGCTTTTTCACCTCAACTGATAAAGGGCAGTGAGTTCTAAATTTAAATGTTGAGTTCACTATGAAGAACAAAAATGTGGGGTGTGTTCTCTTCCTGACTACAACAACAAACCTAGTGAAATCCTCCAAAAAAAGGGTCTTGGGAGGGTGTGGGTACGAAGACCTTACCCCTACTCGGAATTAGAGAAGATGTTTCCAAGAGGCCACCCCGGCTCGTGTTCTCTCATTGAGTCTTCATAATAAATGCTCAAGTATTGCACATCTTTCACAAGTCAAAAGCCAATACTCACCAATGTTCATTTTTGTCGTCATAATATGCTACATTTTAACAGCCCCCAAAAACGTTCTGTCATCAGTCCAAAAATAGCAAATGGAGATTTTCCCTGTGTGTGATAAAAACAACAAACCAAGTAAAATCTTGTGAAGTTGGGTTTGGGGAGGGGGGGTGTGTGTACCCAGACTCTACCCCTACTTGACAGTGGAGAGGTTGTTTCCAAACTCGAACACGAGCACAGACACAAAGATGCACACATATTGACACTAGTAAAAAAATCCCTTATTTCTGTCCTCCCCTTGCCACTTTATTGTTAAAGCCTATGCTTAACAGATTTGAACCTGGTTAATTATTTAAGTTGATTAATCATCCATAGTTTGGTGACTTCAGACAAACTTCTTGTATTGATTCAAGATAAAGCAAAATGGGTAGATAGGACGAGTGAGATGGACAAGATGCAGCGCCAAGGAATTGAGAAGGCTGAAAAAGCAAAATAACTTTGCAAGGTTAGTCCAGTGAAGTGCCTTTTTCAACAAAAGCTTTACAAAATAACTTTGGAAGTTCAAATGTTGTGGTCTCATGATTACTACAATTTGTTGATATTCAATTTTATGCAGATATATGACTGACTGCAGAGCTTGAGAGAAACGCAACAAGAAAAACAAAAGATAAGATAGATCAACAATGTAGAAGAAAAGAAACATACAGAGCATTTGAAGCATTGGAGATGGTTGAACTACATACTCTCAAAATTATACGGAGTAACATATGCTACAATTCTTAGTTGGAAAGACCGTATGATAATCACCAACTCTTCCTACTAGATTAAAGAGAGAAAAAATACTCAAACTAATCACCATCACTTTCATATTGTTGACATGAAGATAGTAATCCATTACTTTTCAGGCTGGTTGGCTCTTCTTCTTCTTCTTCTATGTCCAGCTTTTCTTTCTCTTCAATCTCCTTGCTACTAGAAGGAGGCAAAGGTTTCTTCTTGACTACAACAACTTTAACTTCCCCTCTCCTTGCTACTACTACTGCTTGCTTTCTCCTCGTAAGAAGATTGATTGATGATTCTTCTTTGCTCTTTCGTGGTATACCCAAATCTTCGTCAGTAACTTCACGCATTCTTCTTACAAATTTCTCTCGCTTCTCTTTGAACAAAGGTTTAATAAGAGCATTCCTTTCTTCCTCCTGCATTCCCCTCCTCTCCTTTTCCTCCTCAACAGTGTGTCTAAGAGCCTCAAGCATTGCTTCCGAACTAACCCTTTCTTGCCTTGACTTGAATGATTTCAGTTCATCCAAAGTAGCAACAATGTCCATTTCTCTTTTTGAATCCGACATCCGATTCTCCAATGACTACACATCTTTCTCCATGTTCTCATTGCGTTCACGCCATGGTTCAAAATTCCTCGTCGTGCCGGATTCAGCAGCATAATCGGAGTTTCTTGGATCGGTTATGTAGGTGAACTCTGCGGAGCAATTCGTGCACTTGGAGCAGAATCTGAATGTTTTGATAGTACCCAAATACTTGCCGGCGGCGGCTTGTTCGATGCGGCAGTTGAATTTCGTGCCTTGGTACATATAATTCCCGCAGGTATTGCATCTGACACTCATCGGAAGCATCATTCGAACCTTCTCCTGGTTCTTTGGCCGGCGGTGGCGCCTTATCTTGGCCGGATCGAAATCAGCCGAATAATACTTGTTCACGACTTTCCTCTCCCCCATGGCGCCGCGGATCTAAATCAGGCGCATCCCACTCCCATTTTGCGCATTCTCTTTCTCTAGCATATAAAGAAAAGGAAGTATAATGTGGATCAATTACATTATAAGTTTTGAAAAACTTTATATAAACTATATTGAATCTTCTCTTTTTGTCGAAGCCGGAACAAAGTAAACACGAATGGCTCGTAACATAAAAACCCAAGTGGGGTGCGGCTTTTGTCAATCTCGGCAAAGACATTCCAGACGCTCTTTGAATGTTCTTGAGATATTTTTCAAAAGAATGACAATATTTTGAAGATGAGATTGTTATGAAATGTTTGTGATATAAATAGTATATATAATTGGACACTCGACCTACTCCTACCCATTAAATGTTTGAATTTTGTAAATCTATTTAATTTGATTTGACACAAAATATGCATGAAGTCATGCACTAACTTCTTTCTCTTAAATCATTGGATTTTGTGAATCTATTTATTAAATTTGATTTGACATAAAGTTTGCATAGAGTCACGCACCAATACAAAAACTTTTATTTATTTGTACTTTTTCATGACCTATATGATAAATTGGGCAAAACTTGTTACTAGTTTTGTTAAATTTTTGATGTATTTTGTAAATATGTACTCCCTCCCTCTCGTTTTAAATCGTCAGTTTTAACTTTTGGACATATTTAAGGAAAAGAAAAAATAGAGTTGATTTTTCAAAATTGTCATTACTTTTTAGGAGGGATGACGATGAATGAGAAGATAAGGTGGAGAAGAGTGACTTATTTTAGAGGTAACTTAGGTATTTTATTCTTAAAAGTTTACGATACCAAGTAACAGACAACTAATTTTGGGACGGAGAAAAAAAGTCACACATTTTTTCATTTTTATACCAATATTTATATAAAATAGATTGAAAAAATTTGATTTTTTTCGTTTAAGACAACATAAATAAAGATATGCGACGGAAGGAGTAAAAATTTTACTGTATCTCAATCTTAAATTTCTTAAAATTTTCATAATTACTTTTTAAGTGTATTCAAACCCAAATTTGACCGTAACCGACCCGACCCAAAAAAATGTGCAAAATCGACAGAATATTAAATCAAGTCCGAACAAAAAAAATGTGCAAAATCAACCCGCCAAAATCAAACCCGAACCTAAACTAAATCGGGCCGGATTTCAATACACAGACACACAGACACACACACACCACTGAGATGACATGCTAACATGCTTCGGTGAGATGACGTCAAGTTCACCACATTACACTACAAAGCTCGCTAATGGACAATGCAAAGCTCATCACTTTGAATACCAAAACTCATTTTTTTTTTAAATTTTGAAAATTAAAAAATTATTTCAAAATAAAATAGCAACATCGGTCAACCACTGGTCAGAAGAGGCGGCACGGCGGCGGAGTTGCGGCGACGCGGTGGACGGAGGCGGCACGGTGGTGGAGCGGCGGAGGTAGCCTGCGGCTGGAGGCAACGCAGTGGTGGAGCAGCGGCGACACGGTGGCGGTCGAAGGTGGCGGTCAACGGTAAAAATCTAGTCAGCACCCCTTCCTTTGATTTTATTTTTTTAAACAAAATCAAAATGTTGAAAAAATATGGTGAGTTTTAATTTACCATACAGTTTGGTGAGCTTTGTAGTTATCTTTGATGAGATTTGAAGTGATCAGTGGTGAGCTTTACGTCATCTGAGCGTAGCATGTTATCTCACCGTAAGGTGTGATCTGACTGGAGTCAATCATATATATATATATATATATATATATATATATATATATATATATATATATATATATATATATATATATATATATAGATCTATTATCTATACTCATTTATATTTACATATTTATATATATTAGAGTATAACTATTTACATATGCCAATATATATTATTATAAGAAATCTATTTACGGAGTAGTATATTAATATATAGGAATATATATATATTCTTATTATTATAAGAAAATATTCGTAGATCTATACAAATAAACACACACACCTACACTTTTTTAGTTCTTATATATAAATATACTCTCATATAAATATATACGAATTTGTATGTGTGTGTGTCTTTATATATATATATATATATATATATATATATATATATATATATATATATGGTTTGGTTCCGGTGAAAATGATGTTCGGTGAAAGAAATAAGAATAGTGCTGGTCCGTTTGATTAGATGCATCGGATGGTTCTGATTTGCTTAGACTCTAAACTAGAGTCTAATTTAAAAATGGTAAGTACGGAGTAATTATTAAATTACATCCTGACCAAATGCGCTTCAACAAGGGCATAATGGGTACTTTTCTAGCGAAAAAGAAGCTATAAAGAAGAGCCGACTCCCCTTATTTTGCATTCTCTAATAGGAACGTGTAAAAGTCCACAATATTACTTCCTTTTACATTTAACTTGCATTCAAGTTTGTTTTTTTTTGGATTTTTTTTCTAGTAAGTTTGAGTCAATCGATTCAAAATAGATCTAAAATAGCATTGTGTAGATGTGTTTATGCACTATGATTTGAATGATAGGGCCTATAGGTAAATGTTCTTTTTTGAATTGCATTTTGACGCATCTGTGATGCATTTTATTCCATACCAGTTCCATATCTTAATTTTCCTGATTTTCACTAACTTGTTACTTTAGTTTGTATTAAAAACAAACAACTATGCTTTGGTTAAAGTTTAACATTCAATTTTAAAATTGAGTTGTGATGCGGTCTTATGTAATATTCAATTTCAGACATTTTAATTTTTCTATTACCATTTTTTGTGATGCATTTTTACTGGTACATATTGTATGGTCCGAATTTGCCTATACGAGATTCGAACCTACGCCCGTAGTACATACTGCTTTATCATTTGAGTTAATAGACAATAATTTATTTTTCCAAAGAGATTTTCATCTTGCACTTGTAAGTTGGATATACTAAATACACATTTTAATTTTTTTCCATGTTTACATCCCTCAAAGTTTCTAACTCATATTAAAATGTATCATAGAATTTCACTATCTAGAATATAAAGATACATCATGTTTGGGTCAAGAAAATTTCTCCATCTGATGCATAAATTTTGATTATGAGAATAATGCACGATAATAAAATGCATCATTTTTTTACTCTAATTATTAGAATGCATTACAATCTCATGTAAATGCATTAGCTTAACCCTCAGAATGCACAATAATAGAACAAGGTAAACAAAAACTAAAAAAGAAAGAAAGAAAAAGAGCACACCGCTATGCACCTCGATTGAATGAACACCAAATATGTCCCAACCCACAAGGCCAATGTGATTATAGTGTATGTAGCTAAATGTTGCACTATCATGGAGTTGAGAATGCATTATTGTGAGTAAAAAAGAAATGATATAAGGAATCTGGACTTTGGATTCCAAATCTGTGTCTCATAGATGCAAGATAAAATGCAGAATAAAGGTTGATGGAGAAGCGATAAATTGTGGAATAAATTAAGGCGAGTGGGAAGAAAAAAACTTTATACATAAAAACTCTAAAATACGGAATTTGCCCACTGCAAAAAGAAAATGGGTATCAAGGTAGTCATGACTTTGTTTCTCATCAGCCATCAAAGGAGCATTATATTGAATACCAAACAAATATTAACCTTCGTCTAAACAGCAACATCAGATTCTATCAAAAGCATTGTGAAACACTCATTATCCCAAACCAGTAGACACATTTTGGGTTGTTTGAATATTAGCATGAGAATGAATTAAAATCTGAGGAAAAAAAAATAAATCTAGTTTCCAGTCCCGTCGTAAATTCATTTAATATAATGTAGAGCAAATCTCTCCAAATACTTCTAAACATTGAATATAGTGCCCGAATCCATGAGGGAAATCGTCCAGGTAGCAATAAATCAGGTGATCTAAAACCCATAGCATCCTCTTCCTTCTCCGACGAACGTCGAGCACAGGGCAATCGATAATCACCCCTTTCAAAAGGAAAACGTAAATATGGAAAACCACAAGTATTGAATCGCAAGGAATCCGGAATAGATTTCTATGAATGGAAGTGATTTGTGCGCTAATCTTGCGGAAGGGAACTCAAGAAAGAACGGAAGTTTGTGAAAGTACGAATTTGTCCAAATTCGTGAATTTGAGTGGCGAGAATTAGAGATAGAATCTGAAAACATCCAACGGTACAGATTCATTCTTACTTCTTTCATTAAATGACATTCTTATTTGAACCAAGCTATATATATATATATATATATATATATATATATATAATGTTAGACATATTATTTAAAATTTATATCATATATGTTGAACCCTACAAAGTGTGATGTATTTGAACTATGAAGAGGTTGTGATAATTTTACATGATTCTAATTTTTTTGGTACAAAGGAAAGAAAAAATAGTAACAATGATTGAACAAAGAAGGTGCCTCAAATCATTTGAAGGGAAGTTTTTGAGATGAGATTGTGAGGGAGTGCCGATTTGGTATAAAGAGTATATACAATATTTGGATAAAGAACCTATGAACTTTTTAATTAAATGCATGAATTTGGTAAATCTATTTATTTAATTGGATTTGATATAAAGCTTCTCTTGAGCAACGCAATATCTTTTACATTATTGAATAAGTAGCTAAGCTCGCTTAGGATTAGGAGTAGAGGGTGTGTAGGAATGGAATCGAAGCAAATATCTCATTATTCCATTTGAATTCATTTTAAATGATATTTATTCGAATTTTAAGAAACATTTGTTTTCAATTTGCTAACATATTCATGTATTCAAATTCGTGTTCGTATATTCGAATTCGAACATAGTAGTATTTTTTAACACATTTTTTAAAGGCAATACATTGCAATTTTTATAAACTAATATGAGGTACACTGCTACAAATTTGAAAGCAACGTCCCCAAAAGTTGAACGCTAGTAGCTTGCGACACGTTGTCCAACGTTGTAACACAAAGTTGATAGATGAAGATGAGGATGGTCAATGAAATATTTTCAAAATATATTTTTATTTAATTAAAATACAACATATATTTTATTTAATTAATAGTTCAAAGGTTGAAAACAGTTGACCAAAAAAGTCAAAACTGAACAAATACT